CACTTTTTTTTGTGTAGATCAGTCATGGATGACTGTTTGATCTTCTCCTATGAAAAATCGCCAAGGTGGTATGAGCTTTGCAGGACCAGATCATTTTCTTGGAAAGTAGGCGCCATTTCGTCTTGGAGATATTCATTTTTGTTTGAACGATCGGGATTGTAAAACTAATTGATAGAACTAGTCTTATTGATTATTTTATATGAAACTATACCAGCTAAATCATAATAAGTTTTCGCTAGGTCATTACTATTTATATATATATAGTTTACAGCTGTCTGCACGTCTTTCTTTTTCATCTTTTGTTTTTGAAATATATCTAAAAGAATATTTAGTACGAATTATAGATGATTTTTGTAGAGAATTTCAAGCGTCATATTTTGATTAAAAAAAAAGATGTTTTAATCAAGTAAATAATAATAGGGAATTATTTGAAATACAAACAGTCTAAGTTGTTCAGCGATACTCGTTAAAATGCAAAAACAAAATAATCAAATACTTGCTTTTGTTTTCAGCTGGTTCACCAGAAGATAAACTTCGTCTATTTTTAATTCATTATTTATGTACGCCAACAATGACACAAGTACATGATAGAAAATAATTAAAATATATTATTTTCAAAACTTTTTTTCATTTAGACTGAACTTGATCAATATATGACAATATTAAGAGGATCAAATTGTACACATTTAGATGCAATAACATATATTAAACGTTGGAAATCAATTAGTAAAATGAGTGTTGTCTCACAAGCCAGAGAAGGTGGAACAACAACAATGGGGTATAAGAAAAACACTATAGTATTCATAAAAAGATGTTTTGCTTGAAAATTTTTAGCACTTTTAATTTTTAAGTTAATTAAGTGCTACTAAGACCTTTTAAGTAGTTTGTAATAACTGAAAATGTCCAAATTTAAGCACTTATCAATTACTGTACAACACTGAAATTCTAAGTGGCTTAAAATATGTGTTTATTTTTATATAGATCATGTCTTCTTAGTTCAACAATCAGTTTTTACAAGATATAAGCTTAAAAACAAAATTTCCTATATTGATAAGTTTAAGAATACAAATCTTTGCTTTTCATAAATCTGAATTAAATTTATTGAAATATAGAGTTATCATTAGAAAAAAAAATTGTTTTATCTAAATGCATTTACGATATAGAATCATCAATCTCAAATTTCATGTTTATTCACGTTCAATCTAATGAGAGAAGTGCTCAACTCCGTTTCTATATTTTTTATACCTCATATGATAGTGTATATTGAGATAAGAAAAAGTTTAAAAGGGTTTGGATCTATTACCTTTCACTAGAGTTTTTGTACAGAGATAAATATTTTCGAAGAAATCAAAATGAGAATATACCTTTCTCAAGTAACTCAATTTCTAACAGAATAGTGGCTTATTAAACAAGGACACAATGATCGAGTCTACTTAGAAATTGAATATCTCGAGAGAAGTATGTTCGTTTTTGTTGAAATTTTCAGGACCATCTAATGACTATTAGATATGTCTATAGACAAAATTCTTGATTTTGGTTTTTTTGAAAATGTCTGACTCTTCATCAAGGTTTCAGTCAAACGATCATAAGCTTTTGCCAGTAGACCATGAATCTGAACTCTTCTAGGCTTTTAATTATTTCATTATGTACTATCGAATGAAGTATGAAATAAATCGAAACATAATTCATCAAATCGTGAACATTGTAACTATCATTTAGAATGTTCTCAAATTTGGTAAACAAAGCATCAAAATTTGCTATGGAAGGAGTTAAAAATCTCGTTGTAAAACAATATGTAAATATATTTTAATTTTTATGTTACTTATATTTATTATTATTTCATATTTAAGAAATTACCAGTAACAAAAATCGTTGATAATTTAATGGAATATCGTTCATCACCTGAAACTGATGATTATCGATATTTTGATCCTAAACTTCTTCGATCAACCGATAGGTAAATAAAAATTTTATTTGAAATTTTTAAACGAAAAACAAAAAACAAAACTTCAAAGAAATCAATTAATCTATATTTAATGTAGTAATCGTCCTACAGAGAATAAGTAAGATAGAAAACCTTTGGTGAATTAGTACTAACATGTTAATTAATTTTTAATCGACAAAAAAAAAACACGAACTATATTTTTATTTATGATATTTAGTATGAATGTTGCTCGTAATCGACAAGGATTTAATGATGTTATTGTTTTTATGATTGGTGGTGGTAATTATATTGAATATCAAAATCTACAAGATTATGCTAAAACTCGATCAACAATAGCAACAAAACATATTGTTTATGGATGTACTGAACTTGTTAATGCTTCACAATTTCTTGAACACGTAGATAAAACTAAAATAATTATTGTTTTTTTAATGAGTAATTTTTTCTCTCTAATTTTAGCTTGCAAAATTGGGTCAATAAATTAATCATCCATAGGACTTATAGTTTTCACGGGGTATTATTGTTAATAAAATATTCGGATTATTTTATTATAATTATAATGATTCTTTTTTTCTTTCCACTCTCGTTTTTCTTGTTTTATTCTTATCTGTTCACTTGTAGATTTATTTTTTGTTTTTAATTGTTTAACTAAATAATTATGGTAAGAGATATTTTTGATTTATGTATACAAAAAGTTAAAAATTTTATCCATGTTTTAGTCAAAGAATTTTAGTGAAGAAGAAATTGACAGTAAGAAATCTGAATATAATTATAATTTGAAAATTTAAAATTTTTATTGATTAGATTTTCGTCAATGTTTTCAATTATTTGCTCCACAAGGTTATGTAGATACACCTGATAAATTATGTTTTATTATGCGATCATTAAGCATGGCACCAACAATTGTAGAACTTAAACGATACTTTACTAAATATAAAAAAGGTATGCTTCATTTGTCTTTCTTTACTGTTAATTTATTACATATATTTAAAATTACATAGAGGCTGATGTTGTTGAATTTGATGATTTTCTTAAAATAATTTTGGAGCATCGATCAACAGAAAATTGTTCGAATGAAATAATGGCTGCTTTTCAACTTTATGATACACAACGACATGGTTATATTGATGCTAAACAATTAAGATATATCTTAACTCATATAGGAGAAAAATTAACAGATAGAGATGGTAAGAACACAGAAAAGAAAAGAAAATTATAATTCATTGATTTTATTTATATGTTTATAGTCGATCTTATTTTACGTGAATTAAATGTTGCTTCTGATGGTCGTGTTTTTTATAATAATCTTGTTCATATGCTGACTCAACCATTAGCTTCACATCGTTAGATAAAAATTGGCATTTCAATGTTTTGATATATTCCATTTTTAAATTTAATATTGAATGAAATATTCTCGGGGATTTCAATAGATATTCATTTTTTTTTTCTATTATTAGATTTTGTTTATATTGTGCTTATGACATAGTTATCTTTAAGTTAATTTTTATTTGAATTTACTTATTGTACATATATTTAGAATGATTTTCTTATTTGCATTAACATATTAAAAAAGAATTTCTTTACTGTACGTTGACATGATTTAGTTATTTGTCTTGACTAGCTTACATGATAATGTTTTCAGGATAAAATATATTGTACTTTTTCATCATTAAAGTCATTTACATGTCTATTGTATGCATTGATAATATGATTATCATTAAGTTTATTTTGCTTTATTAATCATCGAAATCTATTGATAATACAGATTTAGTAAATGATGTCTAGTGTGACACCCATACCCTTAAAACAACAGTTCATCATAATTATAGAACACTTTTGAAAGAGCTAAACAAGTTTCATCTTTTGAATCAAAAGTTTGCCAATAAGTGTTGGTCAACAAATTATTATAAAGACAAGTCAACCTCGGAACGGAAAATTTTGTCAAAACTACAATTAAGAATATTTATTATTGATAGAATCGAATCTTAAAAGTATCATTTTTATATGGCGTTGAAAAATCAGTAATATCTAATGAACTCATGATATGTCTATATAAAATATTAAAAATAAAATTAGACGTGTAAGGCAGTTTTATATTAGGGCATGGATGAAAAAATACACATATCTACCCATGTCATTAGAATTGTGCAAAAATCAACGATTTTATCGCGAACAAGTCACGTAAACTGACGATTCTCATGAAAAGTCTTGATTAATCTAGAATTTTTTAAATTAAAGCATGAGTAACTCTAGTCAATTTTTCATGAAAGAGTCCCAATAAGTCTCTTAAGAATTCCTCGATGAATCACATGAAGGATTCCCTTGGAAATCTAGTAAGAAAATACGACGTTGTTTATTGTTGCATTCTTATGAGCTGCTCGTAAGTGAGAAAGATGAACTCTTCTTTCTTATTCCTCGTAAATCTAAAACTTTATTTTTTTTTTCAATTATTCTTACCGATAAATTTGACGTTGCAATTATTCTAACGAACAGAGAATATAAATTTAGTTTATTAACTAATACTTACTAATCAATCTGTTATTGCGATTAAGCTAAATAAGAAAGAAAACAATTTTAGTCTTAAAATAGTACTTATTGTTGCAATTATTGTTGACGTTAACCTATATAAAGATAATATAACTTGTAAAATAATACCTAGCATGTCATTATTCTTGAAATTGATCTCAATGAAAGTAACACAATTTATTTCTACAAATAATGTATTTATCGTCGACGTTGTTGTGGCTTAAAATAGTTTCTTTGATAAAATTAAATAAATCATATAAAACCTGAAAAAAAAAATAGTCATGTCTATTTTCTTGTAGTATAAAACAAATTAAACAATAAATGCTTAGTCCGAAATTTCTACCAGATGCCACACCATGGAAATACTGAAAATATTTTTTAAAATGAAATCATCAAAGTTAAGTTTTTCTTGCTTTCCATAGTAAAAAAATATACAAATAATTTTACATAGCTAGGTTCGTAGTTTCTCAAACGAAATACTTTTTCGAACAGACGGCTACTTCATGATTAAATAACCAATTGTTTTGTAACAACTTTCCATTTATAGTACTGTTTCATGTAACCAGTTATTTAGAATCTAGTGATATTTAAACGTTATTATAGCTATTTAAACATCTTTCATAGATATTTCAATGAATTGGATACTTAATAAGAGCAGATAAATAGTTATTCAATGATTCAAATGGGTGCATCTTTTGTAGCAGTATTTGGTTTATTGATCAGCATTATATTAGCAGCAATTGAAGCCTAACATTATTAAAAAACTATCGTAGGCATTTTAAAGATTTGATAACTATTCGAGACAAAAAATACGTATTTCAAATGATTTAAATAGCTGATTTACTTGTGTGACGATTTCTTTTCATTTTTTTATCTATATCTTTGTAATTTATTACATCATATTTATTATCCTTTTTTTCTGATAGTATTGCTTAAACGTTTTTGCAATGGCTGATTTTTTTGGTTATGTTATCACTTTATTCTTGAATATCTGTGATTCATTTTTTGTTTTCTACGCTGATTAACAACAGAATACGTTATCTACAAGAAAGGCGCCAACTGATTCAAACTTAATCATTGTTATTGAACAATAAAGTGCTGTAAAAATACACATTTATCCAACGCTGAATTGTTAAAATAAAGAATGTCAAAACATAAATGTCAGTCAATTATGTATGAATGCACAAAAATTATACCGACTGATGATATTTTTCCGAAAGAAATAAAAGTGGTACTTGAAAATATCGTTATCTTAAAAAACGTGCCCCTAATGCATCTCATAATTATTATATTATCGGGTATTGCACATTGGTGCTCACGAACAGTTGTGAATATAGATTTGGATTGGAATATTCCATTAATTTTTTTTGGTATTATTGTTGGATATTCTGGTATTTATAAATATGAAATTTATTTGAATAATTTTAACTTTTTTCGTTTACTATGTGCAGGTTCTAACAAGTCAACAGCAATTAGCTTGATTGAGCGAGCAATCAGAGAGATTGAACAGTATCTAAAAATTATGATTGGCGATAGTCGCATTAACGGTTCGGTTACAATCGAAAGCTTGTTACATGAACTTGAAGAAAAGAGATCAATTATTCAGTATGATTATCAATCATAGAATTTGTTGCTTCCACAGTTTTTACGTCGACAGTTTTTGTTAGCTAAGTATAGATGTGTAAGTCGATGGGCTGAGCTACAACTGATCACGGAAAAACTTTTAAAACAACAGTCGCCATCGACAGCACTGAAGTGATTTATCTACGCCGCTGTGATTGCGTCAAATGATTGCTGAATATTTCATCTGTCGCTGTATTTATATTTGATTTTTAAAACTTCTCAACGTCCCAAATCAATTTTTCAAGATGTTATCGTCTGGTTTCTTATTAATAAGTTCTCTATCATCGTTTTCTCACTTTTTACTTTAATATTTCTTAAAATTATGAAAACTTTGAAAAAATTCACCGAAATAGTTCAGCCGTCGATCAATGCATCGACTTATACTAGTAGCTGTGTAGCATTTACAAGGGAAAGAAAACATTTTTTTATTCCACTGTTGTGTTTCAGGGCCTTCGATGAATTTGATACCTTTGTATCATGTTTTAATCGTTATCGAACCAATAAAGCTGCATATTATATATCTGCTTTGAATACATTATGGAATGGTCCTAAATGTTATTTTCGACAATCAGCAGAAAGTCATATTAAATGTGAAAACCCGTGGTTATCTATTGTTATAGCTGCACATCCAAATGCTATTATGAATATTTTAAAAGAAGAAAATTGTCAATTAGGTATAGATGGTTTATTTTCAAGGTAAAAGTTACGTTAAATATAATTTTTCTGTTTTCTTATAATTCATGCATTTCAAGATTTGTATTTTCTGCGTGTATATTGCCAGAAAATGTTCATAAACGTAGTAAGCGTGAAATGGTTAAAATAACTGGTGATTACAATACTGATTCATGTAGTTACCCAAGCCTAACTCATATTATGTACTTCATACATCTTATGCATCATGAGGGACCATTAACATTAAAAATTTCTGAAGCAGCAAATGATATCCTAATACGTACACATGATGAATACAATAATATGATCATAGAATTTCAAGGACATCAAGACGTTCTTTGTACATTATATTCTAAATCACGTGATCATTTATATCGTATCTGTGGTTTATTACATTTGCTTCATCAGGCTTGTATTTATGTTTTAAAAGTAAGACAATTTAATGAAAATTTCTATTATCTTCTAAGTTTTAATAGGCTGAACCACAATTAAAATACATAGATTTTGATGATGTAGCAGCAGAATCAATTCGAAATATGGCTATCTTAGCAAAAGAAAATATAGTTGAATATCTCACTATTTCACCTGGAATAGCTCAAACAGCTGTTGAGTTGATGAAATTTTATATTGATACTAAAAAGCTTCTATATGGTTTTTCATTAATAACCATTCCACCAGCACAAGAAATGAATATTCGTTCATATATTTCTCAACAAATACCTATGGTAAAACAAAAAGCATATGACACTGATTTTTCAACTTTATCATTATCAATATATCCATTTGATGATTCAACAATTGTTACAAGTATTAAGAAAATATTGTTATATCATGATCGAAAAATATCAGTCCAACGGCTTGCACAGATCTTAAGGGTAAAAGATTATATTTTATGAATATTGAAATTACCAGTTATTCTATGATTTTATTATTTATTTATAGCGTCCTGGTATTAGTGCAGAAAATATTAAGAAAATATTTGCATTCATGCAAAATTGTCAAATGGGTACTAATTTAATTGAAAAACAGAAGAAATATGGCAAACCGCGAATATCATTTGTTAAAGATAATATTCCTGAAGATAAAGATTCAGATAAATATAAATTTATGATCGATTTTTTAAATCAATTTAATATTACACCAGAGGAATATGAAGAAAACCTCACAAGTAAATCAGAAACTTCAAATATTTCAGTCCACAATAGCACATTAAATAACAAGAACAACCACGTATGAAATGGTTTTAATTGATTCTTTTTCTCTTGTTTCATATTAATAGGTATTTGCTGAATAAATAGTATAAGTAATATTTATTTGTCTCGGCAAATAATCTTGACATAAAAATCTATTTCATTCATACGATAAAAAAATGATTTTTTTTATTTTCTAAAACATTGAACATAATTACTTTCTAGCGCTGTAAAATAATTTTTAATTCAAAACAAAATGGAAACTTTTCGATACATATTCGACAATGATGTACTCTTTTATTTAGTCACAAAAATGTTCCAAAGCGATTCTATTTTGACAAAATTTTTATTGATTGCAAATACGTAATAACAATGGCACATATCTACTCAAATAATGAGTGAAAGTAAAACTGTAACCATTCGAGGAGTTCATAATCATGATAATGTTCAACGTTCATTATGTATTATTTAAACCGTTAAAAAAAATTCATCGAAAAGTTCAAAATAGCTTAAATAAACTAGTGACATAAATTTATAATGAAAAACTTGCTGATTATTTAGATAAATATTTAGTTTTTTTTATAATAAATTTCTATTTAGCGGCAACAAAAAGGATCTGCTGAATCAATACTTCTGTGCATAATGTATTAAGATAATGTCTGTACTGTGATTGTGCTATTGTTTTATCAAAACTTCCACTATCATTGAAAGCTATACTTTATCTCTATTAATCTAAAAAACAATTTTTACAACGAAAATATGTGTTTCTGTGATAAGACTGAACCATCCTCTTCTAGATTTTGCTTCTTGCTACTATGCTGAAACAAACTGGTATGCTTTGATTATTTCCTCAAACGTAGACAATTAAGTTTTCAATATTCTATTTTTAAATGAATTTTATAATATGACTTCAACAATGAGTATAAATCTAAAATTATGTCAACAAATCTAATTGGTATATAACAAAAAAATACACTCTTTATTGACCAGAAACCATTATGGGGTATTTATTATCATGAGTTTATCTGAATTGAAACCAACTGTCTTTAATCTGATCGAATCTAGCCCCAAAACAATATTTTTTAATTGATGATACCCGTGATAAGATATTCTTTTTTCTTCATTTTCAATTTATTTAACTTTATATATTGAATCAGAGATCACATCTGTTCCAGTTTATATAATTTGTCCGTTTATTTTTTCGAAATGATGTTGAAATTTAGCTCAACTTAAACAAAGATGGGATTATTTTTATGCAGAAAACTTTTCGCGGATGACAATCGTTAAAGAATTTCATCCATATATAACAATGCATTGGCATGATTAATTTTCTATGAAACCCTTTAGTATCTGCAGCTCCTGTCGATAAATTCGAACAAACATACATTACATTGCTACACTCATTTATGTTATACGAGTATAAAAATGATGCGGTTTGAGTCCTAACATTTATTGTAATCGATTTTGAAATAGCAACATTCAATGCTTTTTGGTGTTGTCAGACGCAAAAATTCTATTTTGTCACTTTCATCTCACCAAAAATACCTTGAAATCTGTAAAAAAAGATGATGTAAGTTTCCATATAAAAACTTTCATCTATTCTTAACACCACGGAATTTAATCTCTGTTAAAACTCTATTTATTATTTAGTTCAAATATCTATATGTGTATTTATATCATTTTGAGCGATTCATCGAGCACAATAATTGATCTCTTTCTTGACACCGAGCGTATTTCTTTTTTGGCATTGATATTATCAATTGTATTCTTAATGCGGAAAAAAGCATATGTTAAAGTAAATAAAATGACGATGATCGCGAAAAATTTTAATCTACACGACAAGCACGATGGGGTGAAAGTGAGCAAATTAAGAGAAAAGGAATTGTAATCACGCGAAATTCGCAACGAAAAAACATGGAACAATTTGACGATAAGATTTTTTAACGATACAACTGTCATGGTTCGTAACTGAGAGACAAATGAAAAGTCAGAAAGAGACGTCTTTTTAAAAAAAATGAGTTGGATTTTTCAGATCATTTTTTAAATACCAACAAGGGGTTTCGCACTTACTACGAAACCTTAGGTTTCGATTTTTGCAACCAAATCGAAACCTTTCTGGGTTTCGTAAGCAACCTAGAAAACTTATGAAAAAAGTGTCCTTTACCGTTGACAATCATTTTGAAGATGTCTTAGATTTTTACGAAACCCTTTTTGAGGGTTTCGATTTTTGAAAAAAGGTTCGGTATGGCACCTTTTTCTTCCAGTGTATAAGAGAAAACTGTTTCTTGTTGACCCATTTGAATGTTTATTTATGCAATGTTATCTGTAGAAATCATTATTTTTTCTCCATGATTATCATCTTTTTTTTTTGTAGCTGCCTCTTATGTTGTTCCCGATCTGCAAAAAAGAAATTGAAATTGAATTAAATCAACAACATTCAGAAAACAAATTTACGATGACTACTTCCGATATTTAAGTTCTCGTCATTGATTTCCTTAACTAGTTGAACCTTTGTTTTCTCAAAAGCAATTCATTTTATTATCGTCATATTTCAAAAAAAAAACCCTTCAATAACAGCTAAAATAATTAATTCAACATCATGAGAAAAGTAATATAATGTATACTGCTCATCTATGATCTTTTTCTGTCTTTGCATTTGTTTTTTTTGTTCAAAATCAACAATTTTTCATTCTATAACTGATTGGTTTATTAAAAGTTTCATAAGAACAGTCGCCATTGAAGCTATAGGGCTAGATAACAAATTTCGACGTTAAAAGTCCAGAAGTATGAGATTAACCAGTAAAACAATAAAGGTAAGTTTACGATGACAGGAAGTTCATGACCAAACAACACTGTAGTGTAATTGCTAAATATCATAATCTGAGTAACAGTATGTTATTTACTTTTTTTTACGTAGAGTTAGAGCTATTTTCACTAAAAATGAAATAATCTCTGCAATAGAAAATAGTAGGATACAAAAAAATCATCTAGAATGCAAATACCTCAATGATCAATAACTATATAATTTGAGTTTTATTGGTTTGATAATTGGTTCATCATCGACACTTAACGTTAAACTCACACGAAGTTCTTCTGTATTATGTAGCTTATATCTGTTATCTCAAAATAACAAATTATTACGTAATATACTTATCAGAAAGGTCTTGAATGAGTTACCATTCATGGTATCGACAACAATTTGATATTCAACCATCTTGTATTACTTCTATATTGGACTGGATTACTCTTTTGTTTCATCAGTAAATGAAAATATGAATAACTCGGAGTCAACTTTTTGTTTACAATTACATTCGGACAAATACCTTTATATTTCATTAATTGCATTAAAGATATGGAGCAAAAATAAAATGTCCCAAACAAAGATTTTATGCCAAGCTCTTTCTGTAATGCATCTATTGTCTTGAAAAATGGTCAGTTGTCGATAAACACTTTCATTTTAATTATGATAATAAAGAATTCACTGTGGCTTTCTTTTATATAACAGGATGAAAAAACCAACTATTAGAGAAGTTATATGATCCTGATGAACAATTTCTGATTCAGTAGAAAACGTCTTTGGGCTAAAAATACCTACTTACCAATTTTCTTCATAAAGCAACTACTAGTACTACATGTCATCATTTTATAGGATATCATAATTACTAGTGTTATCATCTGTTAAAATAGCATATCAATGATGCCACAAGACAAAACTTAACCATTTCTAAAAATAAAATTATTCATCTTGATCAAAATAATCTCTTGACACCATAATATCTTCTTGTCTTCTACATTCTCATTTTGATCATCATGTCATTGTTGCAACTGGTTAGGATTTTCCTCACCGGTATCAATACCGATCTAAACGAGTCAGCGAACACCAGAGCAGGAAGTAGGCTAGCATGAGTCATTTTTCACTTTTCTCATCCTGTAATAGCCAAAATAAACTCTTGATTAGTCATACTACCTATGAATGTCTACGGAAATAACTTAAGGCTTTTGTGAAATATGATTGCTAATGAATGTTGAAATATATGTCGCGACAATTGATTTCATCTCCTCCCGCTTACTTCAAGGTGATGACAAACATGCTGACATTCTTTTAATCTACTGACGGACTGTAACGGTCTAGTATGTTTTTCCACATGGTGTATTTTGATTCCATCATGGTCTGTCATGTAGATGACGATGTTTTCCCAAGGAGAAAAAGCAGAAATTTCATACTTAAGCGTATTTCAAGGGTAGACCAAAGCTATCCTTTATGAGTATTTACCTATTCCAAGCCTAGCATCAACTTATGTCATGAGCATCTTAGTTTGAGTTCATTTTATTAAAGTCTGTCTAGCAATAAAGTCCAAATACTTCATTGTACTTCGAGATTTGGGTATTAGTGAAGTATAATCAAGTATTTTGATATTATTGTCAGATTGACTAGAGGACAGTTTTCATATATTCTTGGAATACGCTATAGTACAGGCGAAACATGGAGTTTTCACTGTTTTCAATTGGGTTCTCCAAAATGGTTAAAATAGCTTCGTCGCGTTTAATATAATTAACCTCAGAGAAACTGCACTAAAAAATTTTCTTTCATTATCCACTTCGATAAGTTTTCTCTTTTTGGTATCGATTAATGGACATGAATTTTCATTGTACTACAAATTCTATATTACGTAGCTTTGTACACTAATGAAATGTTCATCAGATATAGAAAGTATAAATCAACTGTAGATGTACTCTGTGCCTTGCAATTAATTCATTTTACCATCATTTTTCTTTCTGCAAAAGATATGGTTATTTGATATAAAAGTGACTTGATAAAATATATTAGTCGTATTTTGATGAATATTCATTTGACAGAAATATTTTAATGCATGTTTTTCCATAGAAACAGTCATTGACTTTAATAAAACTGCTTTGATATGCGAAAAAACATCAGTATGGTCAATTTTGGAAAAGAAACATGCAAACATTCGAAAAACTCAAAACTGACCGGTAAGCAATTCTCTACGAAATCTATTGTTTACTGTTACCGATTGCAACACTGGATCATTTAGATCATTAAAATGAAAATCAATATTGCTCATGTTTGTAAAATGAAGAAAAGCAATAACGATAAATACAAATGAAAAAGAAAACAAACGAAACTTACACGAATTTACAAGAAATTTTGTTTGACATTTAAAACTAGACTTGGCAAATTTTTGTTGTCGATATCGTGAATTCTGATTCTTTTTTAAATGACAATCTAATAATAAAATAGTTTAAATAAATTGTTAAGAGAAATTTATGAATCAATATAAGATAGTTAACAAAACAATCAGCTTGATCAGTAGCAATGAAGTTACGTTTGTACATGATTTAAGCCATCATATTCATGTACACAATCGAGATGTAAGAAGAATAATTATATTTATCTAAAAATGACAACTAATATATACACACAGAATACGTTTGCGATTCAAGCAGAATTTGATCGCTTTCAACCAATATGCATATGATGAAACCACTACTCGTCATCTATTACTACATCACATAATCACCTGGTTTGAATTTCATTCAAATTTTTTGCATGTTTCGGCTGACTCAGCTTGCTGAGAATCAATCAACAGCTCGGATATGTAACGAGCGATAATTGTTTTCAGCTGCAGATGGTCGCAGATTCTCCGCTAAATGGTATCATGGCTCAAGTTAGTTTGAAACTGCAATTCTTCTATTCTAATATATGGATCATGATTAATAAGACATCGAACTTGTTCAATTTTTTCCGATATTGTCTCTGCTACAGGATTATCGGAGCCATTCTTCGTCCTCTATGTCTTCTTGACCTTCACGAAACCATTTAGACCATCTTTCTATTGTCTTAAGTGTAGAAAGTTGAACACCGAAAACGGAACGGAGTTAATCATAAAGAACTCCTCCTTGTATATTAAGTTAGGTACATACTCAAATTTAGAATAAAATGTTTCCTTATTCATATAAACAGAGGTTGATAGTATTAAGATTTATCATAATTTTGTTTCTTTAACTTTCTTAATAACACATTAATGTGCTTGCACATACACATCAAACAAGGAGGACATGTGTCTTTGCGCATATACAGGGCTCGACATTAGACGAGACGAGAAAAGGAAGAAAAATAAAGAGAGAAGAAAAACAAAAAAGAATATTTAATATATTACTTTCACATTTCATCGAAAATAGCTCTTATAAAAAATTTTTTATGATGATTTTAGTTGAAGAATGATCAATATCACAGAAATGTAGAGCATTGATCTTTACTATGCGCTAGTATAGAGAAAAGATTTGTTTAAGCTTTTTATAAGGAAT